GGTTGAAGCGGGGGATGCTTTCAGGAAAGTGTATTATCTCGTGATCTTCTTTTTTATCGAATCGGAGTAAATTCATCATCTAATCTATAAAACTTACTTGATTTTTATTTTTTTTTCTAATTTAACGTTGCAGATTTATGTACGTGTCAGGCCTCACCTTCATGAGTTTCTGGAAAGGCTTTCAAGTACTTTTGAAATAATCCTTTTCACCGCAAGCAAACGTGTTTATGCAGATAAATTATTGGTAAGGATTGGAAATATTCCATATTAATTTAGATTGACGTTTCGTTTCCGTTTCTTTTTTATGCTGTTTATTTTAAAGCGCTTGGAAGGGTTATTGAAGAATTTGTTTCAATGGGGCTTTCCTAACGTTGCAGAGCAAATCAACGAATTCAACAAACTACGTTATAACTGACCACTGAATAACAATTAGTGGTTGGCTCCGGTTCATCACTGGTTTAGTTGTCGTGTTGAGGAATCAAATCTTTTTGGTTGTAGAAGTGGTCAAAACATTTAGGTGGAACTTGGGGGCACCAGAGCACTGCTCTCTTTCCCAAGCTAATGAACTTTGTTGAGCACTTTTTAATTTGCAGCTTGTTAAATTCCTCAGTGTTTTTTTCACTTCTGCAAGGGAACGGGAAGAGGTGACGGGTTTTTGCTTGTATTTTCATCGAAACTAGCAAAGTGTGTCGTTTGTCAGGTATAAAGGATGTTATTATATCTTCAACTTCTATGACTTGTATTTTTTAGAAGTTTACTTCATATGAAACCAATGTTTTGTATCATATTTTCAGATATTTCTGAGTAATTGTGAAACTATTTTTTTTATAATTCTCTTTTTCCGAATCACTTCACCATTGCTGGTCACTAGAACTATCAGGGGTAATCATTTTGTCGTACCGTTGTAATTGTTTAGGATAAGAATGGAGTTATTTTTTTGATTTTTCAAGGGGTTTTTTTTTGAGTAGTGTTTCGTTGAACAGTATTTCTGAAATAAAATGTCTTTTTCTTGTTGTTTTTCGGTTAGGTGTAAATTAGGCTTGCTAAATTGTTCATTGCTGGCTGGCATTTTTTGCTTGCTGAAAAATCAAAATATTTTGTTACCTTTTGACATTATTCATTACCTTTTGACATTATTCACAGCTGTAAAGTACGGTGTTTATATCGTCCTCCATTAGAGCTTGATCGGAATTTGGAATTTTTAGGTTTAGTGGTTTGAAGATTGACCTTTTTGATTATTATTCTTCAATACCAATGTTGTTTCTCTTAGTTCTTTGTCTTCCAATATGCTTTTTTTGTTTTCAGAATATACTTGACCCAGGAAAGCGGTTAATTCGACATCGGTTATTCCGGGAGCACTGTGTTTTTGTGTACGGAAATTATATCAAGGATTTGACAATTCTCGGAAGGGACCTTTCAAAAACGATTATAATTGATAACTCTTTGCAATCTTTTGCGTATCAAATTGATAATGGGATTCCCATCGAAAGTTGGTTTTTTGAGAAGGATGACCGAGAACTTTTGAAGTTGATCCCGTTTTTGGAAAGTGTTGCATGCCAAGTAGGGATTATTCTTCTAAAATTTACTTTCTATAAGTGCTGGCTGTTTCTATTTCATTTGTCTGTACGCTGTGGAATTTCTCCAAAACTCGATATTTGCTGTGAACGGTCGAAACTGGAATGCATTCAAAGTGTCTCTTGAAACCTCGTTATTTTTGATCTTTAAATTTGTGCATTTTCTCAAGAGTATTGACTTAAAAGAACTTTAAAAAATAGCTTTGTTCTGGATGGTTCAGCCTTACAGGAATTGTAATTTCAGAAAAGCGACGTTCGTTCCATCCTTCGAGAACGATACAGAATAAGGGACCATTTACCACCATTACCCTATCGTGAATATTAGTAATAACTGTATGTGGTTCTTTAGTTTGCATTATTTAGTTAATCGGCCATTAATAACGGAAGTTGAGTAGGGTTCTGATTGTATATCTTAGAGTTTTTAGGTATATTGCCGGTGACAGAATTGTTTTCTAACTAGTCGCCCTTTTAGCTTTGCGCCTGATGTTGTTTCACTGTTATGCTTTAGCTATCAGGCCTACTTTTATTTAAGACTGATTTTTTCTACCGCTAGAGTCCTCAGGCTTGGGTTGTATCGCTTAGATGCATCATTTGACTCGTCATCTCTTCGCCGCGCTTTAGAGGTTTGAGGACGGTATATTTATAAGTTTTTTTCTTTTCTCTTCAAGTAGGGAAGCTGAATTAGACGCAGTTCCTTTTAGTGCTTGGAGTTGCTGTTTTATTTTTTGAACTGAATTATGTGCAGCAGCCTTTTTGAATCCTGGTGTTTTTTCTGCACAGGCGGATTTTCTGAACTGTGTGGTTCTTCTCAGTTTTAATGTTTCTCTATTCTAGAATTCGGTATCTTTTTTCATTCTCTGTACAGTTGCATTGGAGAGTTATAGAAGATTACCTGTTAATTTTATTAGATTTTTATCTGGAAAAAGTACTGACAAATTTTTCTTGAAAATTCTTTTAGTATTTTTCCTGGTTGAATAAAATTTCATTTGAAGAACTTGCCAATGTTATAACTGTTGGGTAATTCTCTTTATCACTTTGATTCAGTTCTGACTCTTCTTTCTTGGTTGTTTTTCTCAAGGTCTAACAGATTTACATTAACGTGTGAAAAGCGGTAATGGAAAAGAGAGATTTATGGAGTGTACAGGAATGAGCAGTTTTTCCTACGAGTTGGAGATACAATGCAAATCATATTCTAATGTGAAACTTGGCTCAAACCACTTCCATCATTTCATTATGAAGTGAAGTGAAGAACTGCTAACGGGCCGTATATTTAAAAACACCAGAAGCTCGACGGTACTCCTGGCAGCTTCATTCCACGAAGGCACAGTACTCAAATTGAATTTGTAGGCCAACAAAACCACCAAACACGTATAGTCCATACAGCTTTCTTGTAATAAATCAAGCTTTTTATACGAAGAATTTGTGTTTAACAAGAGACCCACTTCTTGCAAGAACGTTTAAAAGACTGGAAGCGCCGATAGAACTCGGGAAGAAGAGAACAGCTTAACATGGCGGAGAGCCTACTGGAGACTGCATTTATAAACCTATATGAAAAGGCCCTAAAAAAACCATTTTATCAAACAAAAGAAAAAAGCGAGCAAATTAAGGCTGACAGAAGTAGAAAGAATCTTCTTGAAAGCATGTGAAGTTGTATCAAAGCTGTGCGGGTTGGTGCCAATGAAAGGCCTCTACTCAGAAGTTTCTCACCGGAGTTAAATCAAAAAGCACATATTTTTGCTACCTTGCTTTCTAAAAATTTTAAGCGTATTACAGAACGAAAAATACGAAGACCACCATATAACTTATTTTGATGATAGACCTAATGACTTAAGGGAAGCCCAGTCACGATGTTTCCCCGGTCGAAGCTATAAAAATTTTTATAGAGAAGTAAGCCACGGTTCAACAGTGAAAGCTGTAAAACAGTACGAAAATCTTCCCACCAAGAAGCAATTTTTTTTTCGATTTTTTTCGAGTTTATGTATAGGCGCCGTCATTTCTAATTTCCACTGGGCG